TTATAGATATTAAACACAGGTTATAATTATCTGCTCTTAATGTAGGTTATGTATATAAGCTACTGTGCCAAGTAGCAACCCTGTACAGATACTAACTGTGATGTACTAACATGTACTGTACATTACCATCTGTGATGTACTAACATGTACTGTACATTACCAACTGTGATGTACTAACATGTACTGTACATTACCAACTGTGATGTACTAACATGTACTGTACATTACCAACTGTGATGTACTAACATGTACTGTACATTACCAACTGTGATGTACTAACATGTACTGTACATTACCAACTGTGATGTACTGTACTGTCAGATGCTACTAGGTACATCCCAAGGGCTCTGTGTAATATATAATGTATGTTCTTATGGTAATGTATAACATACATTCATGTTATGCTAATCTGTGTAATTTGTTGTATATAGTGAGTTGTTGTATATAATACATAATGGTGGTTGGGTGTGAAGTTGGCTTCTTGTACAAGGTGTTCCAAACTTGGGGTCTTGTGATGTTACTCCAATTATTAACTTATATGTTAATGTTAATTGAAGTAGTTTGAGGTGTCTACTTAATTGTCTTTTATTGTAACTTGTTGTAATTGTCTCATTAATAATTTGTGAATTAATGTAACTGTGATGTTATTAGCCACAATGCTTGGTGGGAGAGTTGAGGAGGGAATGAAGGTAGAGAGAACCGGGAGGACTCACTGTAGACCAGACCTGTGTGTCTCGCTGCTTCACACAACTCAGTTGAGTTTAGGTCTGTGTGGATGGTCTTTGTCTGTGTGGATCTATCCTGTGAATCTACCTTGTAAATAATAATTGTACCAAGTACAGAAAGCAGGAGTTGGTGGCTATCCTTTGTCTTCCAGCACTGGTCCCCGTGAACACTTGACATGCACTGACAACTGTAATAGGCCTCATGGGTTACTTGTTAGTGCTGTCAACTACAAACCCATAAGACACAGGTTCAGTGTTGTGGCCAGGCAGGGTTTGTGGGTCATTATCTTGTGGTGGTCTACACATAATATATGTAATATTATCTTTAATAAAAACATTTAATGATCAAATATATACTTGGCTGCTCACTAATGCATTATGGGGTACAGAAACCTCTCCCATATTTAATGTTGGGTGGATTATGGTGTACCTGTACATAAGTTGCCATATTTATGAGAATAATATTTAAAACATTAAATATTTCCATTTAATGACCATTCAATACTTTGATAGCAAGAAGCAGTGTACATAAAGATAGCATATAGATGCCAACAACCCGTAGAGGAGAACAGGAAACAAGAGGATGACTGAAACTGTCTTGGGCGGCAACACTGGCTTAACGAGAGGAGGCTAAGACCAGCAGAGGACAGCTAAGTTTGTTCTTTTTTCTTTTAAATAACATTTGCTTACCACACGGCCATGATCACTCCCACATCTAACTTCACTTAGTAGATGTGATTGTAAAGGAAGTCATCCCAGAGGTAAATTTCTTCGTCAGAAGAAATTAATTGTGGTAGCCCGGCGGGTGGCACTAGTCATAACGGCCTATACCCGGGCAGCGGGGCGGGGTTTTTAAAGGGACCTCGATGTTAAAGCCCTGCAACACAGATTAGAAACAATTATTATCATAGTAATAATAAAGATTAATATTAAGGTGGAGTAGATCTGTACAGAGTCTGCCCCCTCCTCAACAGCAACAGCCACCAGGTGTAAGAGAACAGAGGCTGAAGTGGCTCCAGGAGATCTGTTAACATGTTATTAATGCAGGGCGACGGTGGGTGTATAGTGTGCGGACCTGAACGATACAACGTTAAGGACGACACTGAATGTGGTAAGGCATGAAGGCTGTTGATTGTGTTGCTCTGACTGCATAGCCAAGGTGGTAGAGGCAATTGCAAGCCATTGGGAAACGAGTTCTCTAGGGACGAAAATAGATGAAGCTGGAGCCTTGCTGGTTGACAAACTAGAACAAGTTGAGAAAGAGATACTTGTTAAGACTGAGGAAGTAGCCGATAGAATGGAGGTAGTGAAGAGGAGTTATGCTGAGGCATTAGCAGGGCCACGGGAGGGGGGGGGGGAGTAATGGAGGATCAGAACAGGTCCTACAGCAGCTAGGGACTCTGAAGAAGTGTGTCGAAGAGATGGCAATTAGCAGACCTACTGTTAGGGGAGAGGAGGAGCAACGGGAACACTTCCAGTGCAGGAACAATGTTATAGTTTATGGAGTCCCTGAGAGCCAGCCAGAGGAAGCTGAAAGGATAACACACATTAAGATAAAGTTTGAGAATAATACTTGTACAGAGCTCTGAAGATGTCACCCTCCCCCCTTAAGGTGTGAGGAGGGGATAAGCCTCGCCCCCTCAGGATCACACTGGTGAGCGAGGAGGAGAAATGGCAGGTTATTCGGCAGGCAAAAAACTTAGCAAGGGGCGAGGCATCTCGGAGTGTATTCATTCACCCAGATCGCACGGTAATGCAGAGGCAACAGCACAAGAAGCTCCTGCAGAACTTGAAGCAGAGGAGTTAGGAACGGGGACGGTTGTATGTGGGTTGTATCCAGGGGGAGGGTAGTGGAAGCAAGAGTGCCGACACAGAGCCAGGGGGCAGCGGCACACCCTCGGTGTTCACAAGAGAGGGTGCAACTAACCTTCCTGCGTTTGAGGACAGATGGTTCGACACAGCGCTGACCCACATTGGGTTCACAGAAGAGGGTATTAGAAATAAACTGTCCAGGCTAAAGGTCCATAAGAGTCCCGGAACTGACATGGTGCATCCCAGAGTGCTAAGAGAGTTGTGCAACGAGCTTGCAGAGCCCCGGAAGATCCTGTTCAGTAAATGCCTGGATGAATAAAAGGTCCCAGCGATTGGAAAATGGTTTATGTGAGTCCTGTCTTCAAGAAGGGCGATCACTCCACGAACAACTGTAGACCGGTGAGCCTGACCAGCATAGTATGTAAAGTACTTGAGAGTATTATAAGAAATGCAGTGATGGAACATCTACTAGACAACACGGTTTTATGCCGGGGCGCTCCTGCTTAACACAATTACTCAAGGTATTGGATATTTGGACCCATATTCTGGAGTGGGGTGGTAATATCGACATTATTTACTAGATTTTGCCAAGGCTTTCGACAGCGTACCCCAAGAAAGGCTGAAAATTAAGCTGGAAGGGTACGGAATTCAGAGAAGCGTCTTAGCGTGGATCGCAGACTTTCTACGTGACTGCAAGCAGTGTGTGGTGATTAATGGCACGAAGTCATCATGTGTACCTGTCACAAGCGGGGTACCACAGGGCAGTGTATAGGGCCCGCTGTTGTTTGTTTGTTTCATAAATGACATGCCTGACGTTGTACACTCCTCCATACAAATGTTTGCAGATGACGCCGAGTTATTTCGGGAAATCAAGAACCAAGCGGACTGTGAAGAGCTGCAGAAGGACCTCTGTGGGCTCCAAGAATGGTCGAACTAATGGCTGCTGAGATTCAATGTCATGAAGTGTAAGAGGATGCACCTGGGGCGTACCAACGGTAAGGAGGCGTACCATATGTCCCAACGGGATGAAGAAACTGCACTAGTTGAGACTGAATGTGAGAAGGACCTAGGTGTGTGTGTTGACAATGAGCTGAAGTTCTCGGGCCATTGCGAGGAGAAGGTAAATCAGGCAAATAAATTATTGAGTCTTATAAGAAGGTCGTTCAGACATCTAGACGGTCCGTCCCTCGTAACGATCTTCAGGAGTGAAGTGCTTCCCCATCTGGAGTACTGTCACCCCGCCTGGTCCCCGAGATATGCTAGGGACTGTCAGTTGGTTGAAAATGTTCAAAGGAGGGCCACCAGACTGGTGCCTGCACTACGACTCCTCAGCTACCCTGAGAGATTGGAGCGCCTGAACATGCCTAGCTTATACTACAGACGGGCAAGGAGTGACCTAATTGAGGTGTATAAGCATCTCAAGGGGCACTACTCAGTTGAGTGTCCTTACTTGGAGCTGGCGGACACTCGCCCCACAAGGGGTCACAGCTCAAGATTGAAGAAGCCACAAGTCCAGAAAACTGTGAGGGCAAACTTTTTCGGAGTGAGAGTTGTGAACTGTTGGAACAATCTACCAGAGAGTGTTGTGACGGCACCGAGTGTGAGCTCTTTCAAGACCAGACTTGACCAACACTGGAGCAGGTTCAGGTACTTTCAGGAGCCAGTACATGCCCAGTACTTGCCAACAGTGTGTAACAGAGAGCCGGTACATGCCCAGTACTTGCCAACAGTGTGTAACAGAGAGCCAGTACATGCCCAGTACTTGCCAACAGTGTGTAACAGCCAGTACATGCCCAGTACTGTGTGTAACAGAGAGCCAGTACATTACTTGCCAACAGTGTGTAACAGAGAGCCAGTACATGCCCAGTACTTGCCCAGTACATGCCCAGTACTTGCCAACAGTGTGTAACAGAGAGCCAGTACATGCCCAGTACTTGCCAACAGTGTCTTAGATGATAATAATAATAATAATAATAATAATAATAATAATAATAATAATAATAATGACAATAATAAAATATAAAACAAAATTCACTGAAATATCTTTAAAAAAACCACGATTTTACCTTAATAATAAAGGAAAACTGACTTACGATTTGTTAAGAATTTGAGACCGTTCCTAATGGCCATCCCAGACAAGACGCGGCCCTGCAGTATTAATTTTCATTGGATTTCGTCAATTTCTTAAATTTATTCGTTTTTTTTATCTTACGTGAATAGAATAGAAATTTTATTTAGTATATAATTTTTAATATTGAGTTGAAGAATATATAGAGTATATTAATTAGTTATTTAATATATAGATGAGGGAAATACAGTAGAAGTCATCAATTTGAACGATATATACAGAAAAAAATGGGTAATAGGCCTAAAAATTGATATATATTCCAAGTTAATAAATTATCCATATATTATCATACTAATTTATGAATAAATCCCAAAATTAATCATTAAAAACCATCGATAATAAGTTATATCTGAGTGATATTTAGTCTCCCTGAACGATGAGTTATGGGCATGTTTTAATGTGATCTGGCAACGTCTTAGGGTGCCACATACCAAGGAGTGCCACAGTGCCAGTCCTGACACCTCCTACCACAGTGCCACTCCTGACACCTCCTACCACAGTGCCACTCCTGACCCCTTCTACCACAGTGCCACTCCTGACACCTCCTACCACAGTGCCACTCCTGACACCTCCTACCACAGTGCCACTCCTGACACCTCCTACCACAGTGCCACTCCTGACCCCTCCTACCACAGTGCCAGTCTTAACGTCCAATCACTGCGGGGATTGACAGTATAGTGGGGTGAAAAATGATTGGTGATTTGTATTTCAGTTCATAAGTTGTGATTGGTTAAAACGAATCTCGAAAACGTACGTGATTGGTGGTGATTTGGTTAATAGCTTGTGATTGGTGTAGAATCTGTGGAAGAATCTCGAAAACGAAGGTGATTGGTGGTGATTCGGTATATGTCTTGTGATTGGTCCAAAGAAAACGAATCATAGAACCGATTAGTGATTGTTTTGTGACCTGTGATTGGCTTAAAATGGACCCCGGTACTAATAGACCCCAGTAATAATAGACCCCAGTACTAATAGACCCCAGTACTAATAGACCCCAGTACTAATAGACCCCAGTACTAATAGACCCCAGTACTAATAGACCCCAGTACTAATAGACCCCAGTACCAATAGACCCCAGTACTAACCCCAGTGACCCCAGTACTAACAGACCCCAGTACTAATAGACCCAGTACTAATAGACTACTAATGGACCCCAGTACTAACAGACCAGTACTAATAGACCCCAGTACTAATAGACCCCAGTACTAACAGACCCCAGTAATAATAGACCCCAGTACTAACAGACCCCAGTACTAATAGACCCCAGTACTAACAGACCCCAGTACTAATAGACCCCAGTTCAAAATACAATAATACATTTTTAATTTTCTCGACCCATAGATGACCGACAGGCCATGGAGGATGTTGGCAATGCTGGTAGTGGTGGGGGTAGCGTTGGTACCCCTGTTCTGTCCCACGAGAGGTCAGGTTGTCCGCGGGAAGGTGAGTTATGGAGGGGTCAAAGGTCATTTTGTCTCTATTTGACCTAACTTGACCTAATTTAATCAGTCCTGACTTATTCTAACCTAATCTTTACTGACCTAACTTAAGCTAAGGTATTATTATTATTATTATTATTATTATTATTATTATTATTATTATTATTATTATTATTATTATTATTGTTATTATTACCAACAGATATATCGAGGGTTGCCGGATACCACCATCCAAACACCACAAGACGACCCTGAAACAGTAAAACGTAGTGAAAGTGACCCTGAAATACTGAAATATGGTGAAAGTGACCCTGAAATACTGAAATATGGTGAAAGTGACCCTGAAATGGTAAAATATGATCAATATGACCCTGAGTATAGTGATTTAGGGCCTGAGATAGTGTTAAAGGATGAAAATAGCCCTGATGATGGTGAGGTAAGCCCTGAAAACGAGTACTATGACGTTAACACCCCGAGAGTCCCTGAAATTATCTCTCAACGTCCCTACCAAGACCCTGAAGTGGTAGTGGGTGAGGAGGGTGTCCCTAAAGAGGGTAGGTTAGGTCCTGGGGTGAATGGTGGTGAGCAAGGGCCTGAAACCCCTGAAATTCCCCCCGGAAACCCCCAAAATGGCCCTGAAATCACAGAAAACGATAAAATCACCCCTAGAAACCCTGATCTTACCCACCTAGACACTAAAATAACTCCCGAAATCACGGAAAATGAAATCCCTGGACCTGAAATCCCTGAGAATTGGGATATTGTTGTTATTTGTCTTGGTGGAGGTGAGGATATCACTGTCATGGCCCAAATCGCTTCCCTGATGCACAGTCAAGGCCATAAGGTCGCTGCTCTCATCTATGGACCTACGACTTTGGACGAAACATTCCCTCCAGCTGTGAAGGTCAGTGGGTCACCTGAAGATTAGACACCCTAGCTTATTTCACTTGAAAATTAAATAACCTAACCTAATGCATCCTATCCTAACCTAACCTAACCTAACCTAATGCATCCTACCCTAACTCAGGTACAATTATGGTGTCTAATTATCAGCTGCTTTAGGTAAACAACATTGAATTAAATATCTACCTTTACCTGTCAATATGAAACACCAATTACGATAAATTCTCCTTTGAGTAATAAATTTGTATTTCTCCTCCAGGTGCTACAGATACCCGTGGCCCCAGATGACCCACTGTACCCTGGGGGCGTGGCATCAGGGGTAACACCTGGGGAGGAGGTGGGGGTAGAGTGGACAAGCGGGAGGATAATCGCCTCACGAATTCTAGCATGTAGGGAAGCAACTCAATTACAATGGGTTAAAGACGTAATCTTATCGTCAAAGTTAATCGTGTTTCCTTTATTCCTTCATGATATATGTGTCTTGTCGTTAGCTCACAGCACTCGGGTACCTGTCGTGGGTGTTGTGACATCTCGTATGGGTGCCTGGTGGGTATGGGTAAACATGGGCATTTTACCCTCGCTAGGTAGTACCCCAGTGCCTCCTAATTCTATGGATGACTTCGGTATCTGGTCCAGAGCTGCTAATCTTGCCTCGCATTATAGGTCAGTTGGTAATAATGTTTGGTTCTTTGTAAACATTGATGGTGGTGGTAGATTATAGTGATGGTTGTTGTCAATAGTTGTTGTGTGTGAATATCTATCCATCTATCCATCTATCTATCCATCTAACCTAACCGTCTCAATATTTCCAGGTACCTTTCATCCATCCGTCAGTTATACCAAGTCCCAGCCCTCACCGCCCTATCCCCAGGGACTGATCCACCATCCCTGGACGTCCTCTACACATCCCTAACCCACGTCCTACTAGCCTGGGACCCACTGATTGACGCCCATGCCCCCTACACGCCCATGGTCATCCCTATTGGGGGTTTTGCATTCGAGACTGGACGAATAACGAAGGTGAGTCACTAGGATATGTGTACACCTGTTAATTAGATACTCTAGCTTATCTTTACCTGTTAATTAGACACCCAAGTTAGTTAGTTATTTACTTAATTTAAAAATAACTGAGTTTCGTACAGCTAACACCAACAATGTCAACATGATCATCGTGATTGCAAAAAACTATCGTATTATAAACATGATTGAAATTCATATGCTCAGCGATACCTCTCTCCACCTTCAGGATGTCTTGGTACCAGCTTTACTGAATCGAGCAGGTGTAGTGAGTGTCTGTCCGGGTGGAAGTGAAGCATGGGTAGGTCCTGATGCCCTAAATGCCCTATATAATGCCCTAAAGATGACCCCGTATACGATTTTATGGAGGGCATCGTATGATCTACTTCAACCAAACATCTCACAAGACGATTCTATGAGGGATAAGTTTATCTTTAAGAAATATCTTCCCCTGAGTGATGTTCTGAGTGAGTGTCTCTTTATTGATGTTTGTTTGGGTGTTTTTCAATCTGTGTCTGTCTTTATAACCGATTTTTTTCTCGATTTTTAGCCATAGTCTCTAAATATAGCCATTTTTTTAATATAGCCGATTTTTTCTCGATTTATAGCCATTTTTTTAATATAGCCGATTTTTTCTCGATTTATAGCCATTTTTTTCAATATAGCCAATTTTTTCGATATGTAGCCAAAGTCTGTCTAAATGTAGCCATGTCCTGTCTACCCCCTTGACAGACCATCCCCGTCACCGTTTACTCGTGTCGACTTGTGGTGAGACAGAAGTCATGGCTGCTGTCTATTTCGGCTCTCCTGTTTTATGTCTTCCTGTTACCACTGATCAGACATTGGCTGCCGCTGTCGTCGAGGACCTGGGTGAGTTTTAGACAGATTTAGACAATGTTAAGTGAGTTTTAGACAGATTTAGACAATGTTAAGTGAGTATTCGACAGTTTTAGACAATGTTAAGTGAGTATTAGACAGTTTTAGACAATGTTAAGTGAGTATTAGACAGTTTTAGATAATGTTTAGTGAGTTTTAGACAGATTTAGACAATGTTAAGTGAGTATTAAACAGTTTTAGACAATGTTAAGTGAGTATTAGACAGTTTTAGATAATGTTTAGTGAGTTTTAAACAGATTTAGACAATGTTAAGTGAGTTTTAGACAGTTTTAGACAATGTTAAGTGAGTTTTAAACAGTTTTAGACAATGTTAAGTGAGTTTTAGACAGTTTTAGACAATACTAGGTGAATTTTAGACAGATTTAGGCCACAATAAGTGAGTTTTAGACAGATTTAAACCCTAATAAGTAATTTTCAGACAAATTTTAGACAATATTAAGCGAGTTTTAGACAGATTTAGACAAGAATAACTTAAACATTACTTATAAACCTTGGTCTTACTTTAGGGCTAGCAGTGGTTGTCCCAGCAAAGGAGGCGACTACTTCTACACTTACAAAAGCCTTAAGTAAATTGTCTGGGAATAGAAGGTAAGTGTTAAGTGACTTCCTTGGGATATTGTTTACTTAAATTTCTTCGTCAGTTGTAAGTTTGTTAGCTACTTAATCGGGAGGATATGAGGTGATTTGTAAGTATTTGTAAGTAATTGTAAGTATTTGGGAGAAATTTTAAGTATCTGTAAGTGATTTTAAGTATGTGTAGGGAATTGTAATTATTTGTAAGCAGTTTTAAGTACTTATAAGTAATTCTAAATATTTATAAGTAATCCGGATGACGTGTAAGTACATGTAAGTATTTATAAGTATATTTAAGTGGAACAAGGGACAAGTGATATAAGAAGAGCTTATAAGGACGAATCAACCAATATCCTATATAGAAACTTCCGTCCTTATGAGCAATTCTACCTTAACAAGCTCAACTACCCTCCTGCTTGTTAGACCTTAAGCTCCGCCTCCTCTCCCCTGAACTACCGGTGTTAGGGCCCTATATATAGAGCACCGGCTGGATGGTTAAGGCCTTCAATCGTAAGCAGGATTCCAGAGACGTTGGTCGTGGTGGAGGGAATAGTCAGTTGAGTTTTCTGCCTTAATTTTGTCTATTGTTTTTTACTGTGTCGTATTTGAGGATCTTTTTGATAAGTTTACTAGTTTAAGTTTAAGTTTAGTTGTTGTTTGTTGTTTTAAGTTGATTGTTTACAGTTACAGAGAGTGTGGTAGACAACTAGGGGAAGAGTTACATGACCAGGCCCTCTCCCCGGCTGATCGGGTATTGTTTACACTTGAGAGGGCCCTGCGCAGACCTCACTCCCGTAGGTACGTACTGCGCAGGTCTGGATTTGTTAATTTTTTCTTTAATGGGATTTGTGACTCGGTGAGACTTTTTTCTTTTAAGTTTCCTAGTTTTATTTCTGCTATTTCTAGTTATATTTTTGCTATTTCTAGTTATATTTTTGCTATTTCTAGTTTTATTTTTGCTATTTCTAGTTTTATTTTTGCTATTTCTAGTTTTATTTTTGCTATTTCTAGTTTTATTTCTGCTATTTCTAGTTTTATTTTTGCTATTTCTAGTTTTATTTTTGCTATTTCTAGTTTTATTTTTGCTATTTCTAGTTTTATTTTTGCTATTTCTAGTTTTATTTTTGCTATTTCTAGTTTTATTTCTGCTATTTCTAGTTTTATTTTGCTATTTCTAGTTTTATTTTTGCTATTTCTAGTTTTATTTTTGCTATTTCTAGTTTTATTTTTGCTATTTCTAGTTTTATTTTTGCTATTTCTAGTTTTATTGTTGCTATTTCTAGTTTTATTTTTGCTATTTCTAGTTATATTTTTAACTGGTTATGTGAACGTGATGCGAGGACGGTCTTAACTGGTACTGTACTACGACGATTAGTTCGAAACGTCTACAATTGCCTAGTTCATACTAAAGACTAACAACGAGTAACTTATAAAGGTCATTAGAGGTCACGGCTCAAGGTTGAAGCCATAAATAACTGTTGGAACAATCTGCCAGAGTTGTGAGATGTTAAAGAGAAAAGACTTGACCAGTACTTGTCAACAGTGTAGCAGACGTGACCGATAGTCCAAGCTGCTAACGAGTCATAGTGGCGAAGGATAAATGTAAAACCAAGTCATTCAGTAGTTCTCTCATCAGCAGTTAGGAGGAAAATTAAGGTTTTTGGTTAATCGGGACATAGATTAAGTTATAAAACCTCCACTAAGCTGTAACAAGCGTATTCTAATCTGCCTTTCTCATCTATTCCAGACACATCCCAAGACCCACCCATCTCTCCCTCCTACAGCAGAGCAACGCAGACGTGTATTTACTCCTGCTGGTTCTGCTGACCTGCTTAAGTGGCCTGCTGATCCTTCTGACTATTGTTATGCTGCCAATCCTGCTTAAGAAACAAAAGCGGAAGGCGGATTAGATTTTGTTGGGGGCTAATTAGATTAAGGTTAGAATTTGTTTTAGTAGTTGGTAGATATACGATGCTTTACAGTTAGTCTATATGAAAGAAATTAGTTAATGTAATGTTTGTTTTTGTTGAATATTAGTCCTACTTAACATTCAGTACTATGACACTATTCTTGACCCGACTAACAGCCATTACCACCCCTAGTTTAACCTGACCTCGGCAACCACCACCAGTCGCTTATGTCTCGTTCGCTGTAGAAGAGGTATTGTATGATAGATAATTTTAATGTTTTATATAGTGTTTAAACAGATATATGAAGGCCATTTAAAACCGCTAATTAGTCCAGTTTGGAGACGTGATTGTGACGTCATAGAAAAGCTTAAGATGACGCATTTCTTAATTAACTGATAAAAAACATACAGCAATATTTACGTAATGTAACGAGTAATAATTAACAACTTACTAATCTGTATTTTTATCAGAATTAATAAGAAAATTATAAATTGTTAAACCGAATTAAATTTGATATATTTTGATAAATCATAGTGTAGGTGAGCCTCTGTCGATATGCTCTCCATCATATCGGTATCCTGGTTTTATTATATGTGGTTCCATTTGAAGTTTGTTAAAGGTGTTGGGGGTTCATTCTCTTTAATTGGTGAAGTCCGGTGATTATTCCTGCGACACATCATGGTGATCGTACCGCTCCTGCCTACTATGACTGCCGCCAACCACCCCGTGTGTACTATCATGTTTTGTTTAATAAACCAATAAATTACACTAGCAACTTATTAAAAATGCGATGTTGATACAATTGAAATAAAATGTAGTTATCTTGGTTTTTTTTAATTCGTATATCTATGAGTACAGTATAGACCTTGACTTGACTCGTAAAGTTCACTCATGCTCTAGAAATATTTACGACTCGTGGGGAAAAAGCTAAGTTTATAATTTTCAATAATATTCAAGAAATAGAAAAACTTAACATATATGAAAGTATCTTAAGTTAGTTATAATTATGATCGTTTGTTAAAAAGGTGAAAAAAAGATGGGTTCTGAATGTCTAAATCGTGGTAATATTTTAACATAACCATTGAGAGCAAATTTCTGAAAATATATCTAAAATTTAAATCCTGTTTTGACAATTTATAATTTTCTTACATTTTCATTTATCTTGGTAAAAATACACTCAGATTCGTAAAAATTTAATTAAAGATCATTACATTACGTATTTATTGCTGTATATGTTATTTATTTTTCAGTTGATTTTTAAGAAATGCGTCATCTTGTTTTTCTATGACGTCACAATCACGTCTCCGAACTGGACGAAGATGATCAAGTGTATTTTACCTCCAAAAAGAAACCAATTACACTTGAGCAATTTATTAAAAATGCGATGTTGAATACAATTAAAATATATTATAATAATTTCTCTTGGTTTTATATTTATTTTATATAAACCTCCATTACAGTATTGATCTTGACTTGACTCCAAAAATTCACGCAAGCTCTAGAAAAATTGACAACTCGTAGAAAAAGCTACTTTTATAATTATTCAATAATTTTCAAGAAATGGAAAAACCTAGCATATACAGAAGTACATAAGTTAGTTATAATTATGGTCGTCTGTTAAAAAGGTGAAAAAAATATTGGCTTCGTGAATGTTCAGATCGTGGTAATATTTTAACATAACTATTGAGTGCAAATTTCTCAAAATATAATTAAAATTTAATTCGGTTTTGACAATTTTTAATTTTCTTACATTTTCATTTATTCTGACAAAAAATGCACCCATATTCGTAAATATTTAATTATTAATCGTTACATTACTTATATATTGCAGAATGTTATTTATTTTTCAGTTGATTTTTAAGAAATGCTTCATTTTGATGTTTTTCTATGACGTCACAATCACATCTCTGGACTGGACGAAGAAACTGCCACGTAAATTTTATTTTGTTTTAACTTTTTACGTCATAGAACTGATCTGAATAGTCTAAAAGTTTACCCATGAATAAATAAGACATCTGGCTATATTCCAATGTCTTAATTACTCATGGGTAAGACATAGAAAGACAAAATAACGATGGAATAAGGACGATGATTAGTCAAACGCCTAGTGGGTCTGAACACCTACACTCGTTCTTAGTCTAACTCACTTTTCTTCCTTTCCACGTAACACAAAGTTGAATTAACATAGAGAAAAGGTATATTAGGTCAGATGTATATTAAAACTAGTAAGTTAAGTCCAATGAAACGTTCCAAATCGATTCAATTCGTCAAAATAGTAGTAGTAGTAGTAGTTGTAGTAGTAGTAGTAGTAGTAATAGTATTGTTGTTGTGGTTTTTATATATAACAATAGTGATTTAAGTGACGTTTTCTATGATGGTTTAGGCGTAACTACCCCATTTATACTTTAACTGCCCTTCATAGGCGACAGAACCACCATTTACAACACCTTACTTCTCGTTAACATGAATTATAAAAAACAAACAAACAAAATCTCACTTGAACGATAATTTGAGGGATTTTTCATTTTTCCAATTAATTATATATTTTTTGGGGGAAAATTGCATCATAAAATCGTGTATTTTTATGACATATGAGTGAAAATATAAGTCATTATGTGTTAGTTTTATAGGATAGAGAGGTATTAAATATTCTAAAAGATGTTGAATGTTGAAAAATGTTGCAATATGTCAGCGTCACCACCTTGCAAGGGCTTGGTGCAACTCCAGGTAGGAAACGGTATCTCAGGGGGCACATGTAGGCGTTGGCAACACTGACACCCACACACTGATAAACCCACACTTATCTCACCTTTCCTATTAACTTACATCTACTTACTACCTTGATATGAGATCTATATTACTTATATTTAATTGGTATTATATAAAATTCTAATTAAATAAGGGAAATAATGAGAAATAATGATGTTAGTTAATGGTAAGTGGCAACTGAGGGTGGGCGAGAGGTGAGGTCCCATCCCACACAAGTCTCCATAATGGCTCTGGCCTTCGTAGTGTGAGGAGGTATGCGTCTCCTCTCCTGACTGAAAACCCCTCGAAATCCTCCCTAAATCCTTGAAAATCGGGGGATACATAATCAGATAATATGTATTAGTGTTTTATAAAGAATCTAAGATGGATATCCTCCCAAGTGCTGCGTTAATAAGTGAATTAGACGTTGAAAAGTGATAGTTTCCTAGGTGAGGTACGGATACCCTACCCATATTAGGTAAAGTCTTGAAGGTAAGTAATTCTCTCTATTAAATCCTTCTATTAATCCTCCTATTAACTATTTATGGGATATTTAGTGATATATATTACTAAAGGAACGTAATTTTAATAGCAATTTATAAATGATCGTAAAAATAGATAAATTATTGCTATTTATTTCATCAATATTTAAGTTTAGTTCTTGTTTGCGTAATTGTGGGCTATTTTTTGCTATTATTTATTATTATTTGTGTTTATTTAATCTTTTATATGTGAAATAACGTGATTTGGAGAGTAATTTAATAACTGAAGAAAATAGCGGTGATTTATCTTACAAGTACGTGATTTTTGGCTATTTTTGGGGCTTTTATTAGCTATTATTTAAGGCT